GTCCTCAGCGTTCTTGCCTGCAAACGTGCACAATCCACACTGGTAACTCTTGGGTTCAGTCACGGGCACCAGGGAGCGCGGACAGTATCCCCCGCAGTAGCTTCTCTGGAGAGCCCCCTGCAGGTGCCTCGCTGCCATGATCTGATTCCTGAATATTTTGGAGCAGACGGGGCACTGGTTAGAGGTAGCCAACACATGGCTGATATTCCGAACGTGGTGCCTATGACGGAGGTGTTCCATGAGACCTTTCCTAGTGGTAAATCTACATGTGCATGGTGTGCATGTGCCATCCGCCGATGTGCTTGTGGCCGTGCAAGCGTAAGGTTGTGCATGTGCTTCCTGCGCGTGATCAGCCTCTTGGACAGCATGGAGGGAGAACTCTGGAGGAGGTACTGCATAACTGACTTGATGACTCCGAACTCTTCTGAAATCCAAAGCAGCGAAGTCCCTCATGTCCTCCTCCTCCTCCAGTAGACGCCACGGGCAATCCGCGATCCTCGACAAGAGGTCCTCGGCGTCGGGGCAGCTCTGGATGGCCTCTCTCACGTCGTCCCCGACCCTCCGAGCCCAGGGAGAGGCATACTTACTTCGTCAACACCGTAGCTGAACACGGCCACTGATCAGGATGTTCAAATCTCATATCTCCCCCAAATAGTGCCACTAAAACCTGGATGTGCGAGCTCTGGTTCTTCGCCCAACTCTGATACCAATGTAAACGTCGTGCCAGCAGCTCATGATAACAATCCGTGATTCCCCAATAATCTAAAACCTCTCGAGTTGATAATGGATGAGCGTGATCATCGTCATCTTGTGCGTGTGTGCATGCTGCGCCCATCATGGCTGTGCGTCCTAGTCGTGCAAGGTGTCGGTCCAGTAGAGAATACTGCTTCTCAGAGAGTATGAAGGGTTCCAATCCCGATAACAGTGACCCTTGAACTAGACCAATGAATATGACACGCTTCCATGCCTTCGGGCTCTCCATAGACCAGAAAGCGCCCATACTGTAGAACCCCGACGACGCAGCACTCATACGACATTCAAGCTCAGGGGATGCCAACTGTAACGGCGTAGTCAAAGGCCCGAGATAACGAGCAACATCAGAGACCAATCTTGCCAGTCGACCCCCTTGAATTCCATGGGTACGTATATACTTCTTACACTGGAGAGATCCAGGGCCAGCGATGTGAAATTGTGTCACCTGTTTTGTCTTGTTCTGTACATAGCCCGTCGTATCCAGAGAGGCGTCTAATACGTCATCAAGTTTATTAAGAGAGTCGAAAACCTCCTCCATACCCTCCCCAATGCATAATGGTACAATTCTAAGACGATCATCTGCATACTTCTGATAAGACATATCTACCTTCTCACCACACCATAGGCTCTCAAGTAGGCTAGCACTGGGGATCACATCTCGAACCTTCTGGGCCCAATCGGAAACAGGCTTGACGAACGCCCCCGCGAACCCCTGAACATTGAACGGGTCCCCCATCACGCCTCCACAGCCCGTCTTCACGAGCAGTGGTCTTGTCGTCGTGTCAACCTCCACGATTGAGAGACGGTACCTCTGGCGGCAAAGGACCCGATCCTCTGGGGCTGCGTGTTCTTGGGTGACTGCGTCAAGTGCGGTCCACGCCGTGCTGCCGAAAGCATTCGAGAGATCGTTCATGGTGGTGGCGAAACTCCAACCAGCCTGTCTAAGACGGAAGCCCATGGCCATGACGCTCATCACGGCATCCTCCCTCCTTCGGTGTCGTGCGAACCCGTGATCTTGAGGAGGAAGGGTGAGGGGTAGACGATTCGCATACCAAGCTTTCCCAATAGATGGTAGGGTATGGATATGACGGCGGCCACGAGGGCCAGGCATCTCATTATTATATACTCTAACGCCGTTGCTACGGTGCAAGTATAAAGGTGCCAAATCAAACCTACGTATTTGAACAAGAGCTTGATGTATGATATGGTGACATGTATTCATCTCGGGAAGAGCCTCCTGGAATCCCACCCCCTGGCCTCTCTTGTGCAGCCCGACCTCTGGGGATAGGAGCATGTCCCAGATCTCCAAAGGTAGCGTGCCAGGTGGGACAGCCCTTCGTTTGCCAGCTTTCCTACAGTATGTACGAATCGCATTGAAGTCCAGGGAACCTAGCTCCTCCAGGATACTTTCATCGCCAGCTGTGGTAGAGGGGGGCAGGAACATCATCATGCTCATAACGCCACTCTTCCCATGAAACCCCATTTAGCCTTCACAGTGATAAAAACTATACCCAAACTGAACGATCCAGCGGGACAGGACCCAGACGACGCCCATCTCTCTGCTTGGCGCCGAAACGGCAGCGGGCAGCACGACGAGATAGGTGCATCGCGTCGGCAAGCCGCCGCGACCGCCACGCTTCCTCGATGAGGTCAACGTGCAGTGCCTTTTCAGCTCGTGATGCCCGCCTCCGCTCATCCTTAAGACGGGCTGAAAATCGTCGAGTCTCCTTCTCCACCTCCTCCAACTCCGCCTCCGTGTTAACCTCCTGCCTCCTCCCCTTCAACCGAGAACGCTCCGTCAGTAGTTCCCGTCGCCGAGAGCTGTCCTGTGAGTTGGGCGCGAGGGGAGCCTGACCAAAGTGCCGAAGGCCAATGGCGTGTATCCTGCGCTCGAGAGCCTCGAATATCTGATCAGGTGCGCCAGTCTTGGTCAGGGACAACAGGTCCCCCTCATGTGCTTCCAGCTTCTGAACCACTTCTCGGAGGAAAGGGACCTTACCCCGACCTGATCGAATCGCCTGCATCAGGGAGGAGGTGTTCATCTTGGGTGGAGGTTGTGGGGGAAGGTCGCGGGGGGTCCTCTGTGTAAACTAATTCCAAATAGACAAGCACATGGCCTCGAGGTGGCAATCCTTTTACAGCTCGTATTCGTGCCCCCAGCCCCCTGAGGGATGACGTCGCACAATTCGATCTTGGTATCCCCGCGGAACAAAGAGGAAATCGATCAATGAAGGACGCGATGGGTTCCCACAGGAGAAATACGTATGTTCCAGATGAAAGAACGTAGCTGGGATAATCATATGCTGCTGCTCCTTCAACCTCCGAACCTCTTCTCCCGCCCCCCTTCCTCCTGTGCTCCTGTGTACGTGCATCTCCAACTGCCAGAGAAGAGGCCGCCTCCCCCGAACCACTGATCGTAGACAAGCCGACGCCGTCGTTGAAGTCGGCGTAGAATACAAGGAGGGCACGGGCAGGGATGGATTGCAGGAGATCCTTCCACCACTGAGCCAGCACCTGGACCGTGGAGAAATACTGACCTACTTCATCTCGCCGAGAAGGTTGTGGCGGGAACTATAGTGCACCATATACTACGTCTTGTGCGCCGTGCTTCACGCGTGCTGCAACTGCTCTGCCCGCTGCTCGAGGTGGTGCCGCCCACGTCTGGACAATATCACGCTCACGATACGACTTCCCAAGACATACTGCACACCCCGTACTCCGATTCGTCAGAGGACCATGCTGAAAGACCGACTCGATCACAACTCGCCCCTCACACCGACGACGAAGTACCCCTGCTCCCCGACGGCATGTTTCTTGAGTGTCTGCTATTAGTAACACATCGGACCCCTTGGTGTTCAGTAGCAACTCATTTAATCGAAAACCTTTTTTTGCATACATGGGGTTGAAGCCCAGGACGCGAAGGATCGAACGCATCGGCGCCATGGACCCTCCTCAGGAGGGGCTCTCTGCGACCCCCCACACCGTGTGCTGGTGTATCGAACCTCAGGTACAATATCGGATGTGTGCATCACGCGCTGGGGCTGGAGGAGGAGGAGGAGGAGGAGGAGGAGGAGGAGGAGGAGGAGGAGGAGGACGAGGAGGAGGAGGGGGAGGAGGAGGAGGAGGAGAGGAGAGAGGCGGGGTGGAGGATGAGCTCCCCTGCCCTCCTGTTCCCTCGTCCCTCCTCCCGCCTCCCCCTCCTCCACGAATCCCGCTCGAAGTCGATCCCGGGCCTCCCTCCCAGGCGCCTCCCGGACCCGCTCCCCGAACCGCGCCCGCCACAGCGGCTACGAGAGGGTGCCCTCCCAAAGCCATCGGCCCCCCTCCGCTTTCCTCCCCCCTCTCCTCCTCACGCCCCCCCCCCTCCGCTTTCCTGCCCTCTCCTCCTCCTCCCCCCCCCCAGGCCCTTCAGCCCTCGACCGTCCGCCTCCCCCATGGTCCCTCCCTCCTCCCTCGTCCCTCCCTCGTTCCTCATCCGTCAGCCCTCGCCCCTCCCTCTCCCTCGTCCCTCGTCCCTCCATCGCCCCCCTCGCGCCGCCATCCTCCACCCCATCCTCCGTCCTTCGTTGCCCCCCCCCCTCATCCCCCCCCTCCTCCCCTCTGTCGTCACTCCCCCCTCCCTGCCTGCCCCCCCCCCCCCCGCCCTTTGATGGAGGGAGGGTGGAGCAGGAGCACCGAGGCCTCGAACCCCGAGGCGCTCCCCAGCGCTCGCGAGCCTGCGCGCGAGAGAGGAGAGACAAAGGGCAGCGATCGGGTCAGGCGAAAGGGAGTGTTGGCAAAAGGGTTTTGCATTAGGGCATGAACTCAGGTAAGTTTGCCGATTTTCGCGGCGCCCCCTGGCGCCGGAGGTACCACCGTATCGAGCAAAGAGCCCAGAAGCGGGGCCGCAACCAGCTGTTGCAGGAGATTTCCACCCCACCTTTCCCCATCTCCTCCTCTCGTCCGACCCGAAACGACAGGGGGGGGACTGCCGCCAAGGGGACAGGCGGCATCGACCCCCAACCGCCCATTCACTGCCCATCGGGGCCTGGGTGCCCCAACCCGACCGTGAACGTGCGGTCTCGGCATCAAGGGCCTGCCGCCAATCTGTCGGCGATGTGTCGCCGACCGACGAGGCGCAGTCGAGAAACCTCGAGGCCCCAGGGGCAGGATGGTCCGAAGCAAGAGCGCCGAAATCCGCGGCCCTTCAGGCCGGAGACCTGCGGCCCCCCCCCCTCCCCCATCGCTCTCCCTCAAGAGGGAGAGAGGGGAGACACATGTACAGAACGGCTCCTCGTGTCCCCGCTCGGCGCTCGCGGGTTTGAGGAGCGTGCAGTAACAAAAGCGGCCGCGGCGGCGGCTCCGCCCGCGGAGGCCTCCTCCGAAGGCCGCCAAGCAAGGCCCCCGAAGGCACCCCGAAGGGCCTCCGGCAAGGACCCCGAAGGGGCCCCGGGAGGCCTCCCGAAGGGTCCCCACAGGGCCTCCGCGAGGCCCCCTTCGGTGGCGAATCTTCGGAAGCCTCCCGTGCCATCTGTCTAGCTCTTGCGACACTCCGGGGACGGCGAACTGTGTATGTATGTATACACACATATATATATAATATATATATATATATATATATATATATATATATATATATATATATATATATATATATAATATGAACGAGTTCGCCCTCGGGGACGCCTGCCCCGGGACGGCTGGAAAATTTATACCCTCACAGAGGCACGTCGTGGCATTCGCTTTCCAGCCCTCCCTGGAGCAGGCGCCCCCGACGGCGGAACAATTGATCTATACCGTTCTTCGTCTGCCAGGAGAAGGCCCCCCGGAAGGCCCTCGAGGAGCCTCCCCCGAGCACGAGGGGGCCTCGCGCGCGCGCACGCGGCGCGGCGCGGCGCGAGCGGCCGCGGCGGCGGCCCCGCTCAGGCGCCCCACTCGCTCTCCCGGACCTGGCTGAGGTACTCCTCCTGCCGGGCGCCCATGGACGTCCACGAGGGGGGTCGCAGCTCACGGCCCGAGACACGTGCGCGAACAAAGGGGGCCGGTTGACGGGTGACTGCACAGGGGCCATGACATGTGCGGAGACAGCACGGCCCTGGCCATGCGGAGCTCGGCTGCCCCGATACGCAACACGCAGCACGTGACGTACTGATACAGAACTCAACACGTAGACCGAAAACGCAAGCCTGACGCGATACGCTCGCCAAAACGTAGGCCAATACGCTGAGCCAACGCGCAACGTATTGACACGGACGTTTTGAACACGGCAAGTGTTGAGTTTCACCACGGGCGTACCGAGGCAGCCAAGCTGCGGAGATACCATGGCCCTGGCCATGATACCCACACGCCCTTGCCATCACCCCCCTCTCTCGACGAGCGCGTTCCACTACTCGCAAAGTAACTACTCGCAAATGGCCTGGCTCCCCCGCGGGGGATCTGCGATGCATTACATCAAAGCAGACAGGCTTATCTTCGGACGTTTGCGAGTAGGCACTGTGCGAGTCGCGGAACGCGCTCGGCGACTCTCGGCCGCCCCCGACCAGGAGGAGGGGGAGGGCCCGTCCCTCGGAGCTGGGCGGCCCGAGGGGGGCGACCTTCCAGAGAAGGAACGGGGGCCCGAGAAGCCGCCTTCCACGAGGCCCCCCCCCCCTGCGTCCTCAGAAGGCCGCCCGGCCCCCTCGCGCCACCCTGCGTCGCCAAGTCGTTTCTTCCTTCTCCTCCTCCCCTCCTCCTCCTCCTCCTCCTCCTCCTCCTCCTCCTCCTCCTCCTCCTCCTCCTCCTCCTCCTCCTCCTCCTCCTCCCCTCCTCTTCCTCCGCCCATCCACTTTCTCGTCCGCAGTTAACTTTGTTGGCTCAAGCCTGGTTCGAGCTCCCCCTGCAGAGAGTCGGGCGGTGCGAGCATGGTGGCGGGTGCCAGCGTTCGTGCGCAAACCGCAGTGCGGCAAGGCGCTCGGCGCGCGATGCTGCATATCCGCCACCGTGCCTCTGGGCACGGAGTGGGCGTGTCCTCAGGTCCTTTGGCCAATCCCCTGAGCCTGAGTCCTCAGTCCTGGAGAGTTCTTATGACCCCGAAGCCGAAATTCACAAATCTCTCGGGGCTTTGCGCGGTTCCCTTGGGCCTTGGCGCATCTTGTCGCGTGACTTTTTCAGGCCCACGAGACGGGCCACGAGAGCCCCAAGAGGCCCCCAAGACGGCCCAAGACGGCCCCGAGTCGCCGAACGATCGCCCTGGGACGCTCAAGGTAGCCCCCCAGACGGCCCAAGAGGCCCCCAAGGCGCACAGAGGTGCCCCAAGAAGCACAAGAGGCCAAACATTTTGAAGGAGTTGGGCTTCTCGGATTTTTCGGCTCCCCGACGCTCCCACCAGACTGTCTCAGAGGCCCCAAAGACTGCCCCAAGACGGCCCGAAAGGCCTCCAAGAGGGCTCCAAAACGGCCCAAGAAGGTCCCAAGACAGCCCCATAGGCGCCCAAAACGGCCCAAGAGGGCCCCAGGACGGCCACAAGAGGAAAGAAAGAGCACGAACCGAAGATCCAAGCCTTCTGCTCCAAGAGGCCCCCAGGACGCCCCAAGACGCGCCCGAGAGGCTGCAAGAGGCCCCAAAAGGCCCCAAGAGGCCTCCACGCGGCCCAAGAGGCCGCAACAGTTCCACGAACGGCCCCAAGAGGCGTCCAAACTGCCTCCAAGAGGCCTCCGAGAAGCCTCCCACGACCCAGGAACGCTAGCGGGATGGGCCTAAACTCATGAGATAAATTTGTCCAGCGCCTCTCCGTCGAGCTGCACTCGGTGAAGGCGCTCCAGGGCGTCGACATCTCGGTTGCCGATGTCACCAAGCTGCGGCGAGTTCAACATAGGCCGCGGTTGGAGGAGCGCGTTACAATGGCGGCACGGGGCACGCGGGATCAGACGCAGCAGTGCTCGCTCCGCTTACGGGCCGATGGGAGGCGCCACCAGAGTGCAGCCAGGGCAGCTGGGAGGCGGTCTCCAGGCCTCCGGCGGTGGTGCGGACAGCGAGCGGCAGGCGGTGTGCCTGCTTCGTCGTGGTTTTCTCCAGCGCAGAAGCGCGGTCCGATGAGCTGGGGAAGACAGAGCTAGTGGCTTGGCGGGGCTATGGCAAAGAACGCACGAATGACGTACGCGCCCACCCACGCACATGAACACGGTCCCCCGATCCGCGAGACCAACTGGGCGATGCAAACGTTGGCGGAATGCGTACTCTCGAACCAACGTGGATCCACGTACGCTTCGTTCGCTCCCGACACGAAATATCAAATATAAATTCACGATGCTGTTGGAGGAGGGGCCGAGTTTCCCTCTGGTGGGGTGCCCCGCCCACGGAGGACGGCCCTGAGCGTGCGCAGGCGGGCGCGGCCAAGGCGGTAGGGAGGCCGCCGTGGAGGCGGCCGTGGAGGAGGAGGAGGAGGAGGAGGAGGAGGAGGAGGAGGAGGAGGAGGAGGAGGAGGAGACCCATCCCCTAAGGCGCACCGATGCCTTCCGCTGGACGCACCCTCATTGCGCTAGCGCCCTCACTGTGGCACTGCGCTTCGCGCGCAGTCGGAGCCGACCCTCAAGGAGCTTTGCCCACAGCGGCTGGGGCTGCAGCTGACGAGCACGGAGGTCTTTAGACTTGAAACCAAAATATCGGCAGCAGCAGCAGAGGCTAGAATAGCATCGGCATTCTCGAAAAGGGAGGAACAGATATCGAAGCAGGCTCGAGGATCGCTGCAACCCCACCAGGCAGGCAGAGGGGGAAGGGGGCGCCTCATAACGGGAACGATATGGGGGACATCCGAATCTGCATGACATATTCGTTTGACGACAAAGGCGCGACGTATTCACTACATTGCACATACATCTCAGCATGCTGACCGCGATGAAGCACCGGACCTCGGTGCCAGCCATCCTCAGGCGGAAGAAGGAGAAAGAGAGAGAGGGGCCTTGTCCTCGGTCAGGCGTATCCACCAGCACCGTAGCCTGCGACCTAAGGCTTACTGCAAAGAGGGCAGCTGAAACCACTCCAGGAACACTTGTTTCATTTCCCTGTGAATCTCGGGGCACTCGAGATACCCCCTTCTCCCAAGGTCGGTCATGGACCGTGGGGGTCAGCGACCATATAAAAACGTACTCAGCAAGCATGTGAACGAGGGGCGAGCGGCGATAGAAGTTGTTGACCCTCCACCCGGAAATTACCACATCACTCTCCAGGACCTCCTCAACCTCCTGCTTACAGTACCAGAACCTGGGAGAGCGCACAGCGTTGCGATGACGAGCGGCACGGGCCTCGCGCCCCAGCGCGCGCGCACTGTTGACCAACGACAGGACGTCGCCGAGCTGCCGCAACATGGAATTCGGAATGGCATAGCGAGGGCAGGCAGTCAACCGCTGGAACCCGCCCCTCTCGGCATCGCTTGTGAGCTCATTGATTCTGGAGAACGACCAAAAAACAGCAAAACGATAATCGCAACCGAATTGTAGGCGACGGTCGAAGGGCCAAACCCAGCCCCCATGGAACGGATGAAACGGCACCTGTCCAGGTATTTAGCAACAGGGCCAAACCAATATTTGCTCCAACCATCGTCTCCCAGAATAATGCCCAGGTACCCCCCCCAGCCCTGGATCATGATACTTCGGGCCCTCGCCCCATGCTCGGCGAACCTCCTCACCTCCTCCTCCTTCGCGACCGCCCTATTGAAAATGATGGCATACTTACTGTGGTCGAGAATGGGGCCCGCGGCGAAAGCAACGTTGACCGGCGCCCCTAGGAGCACGGGGGGGCAACGTCCCAGTCCTGAGAGAGAAACGCCATGTCATCAGCAAGTGCGGTAAGCTCGGACATCGGGGAAAGCAGCCAGTTCACGAGCTTCCGCAACGCTGGGCCCAGGCAGGGAACAAAAATGCCACCTGGCATCGGGTGACCTCGGCGTGCTCCACGGTGGACGGGGGGCGCCTGACATTTGCGGGCCCCCAGGATCATCTCCGCCGAAATGTCAATGTAAAACGCGGAAGTTGCAGCTAACGTGGTTTCGGGAGCACCCATGGTCCTCAAACCAAACAGAATCCAGGCGCGGAGCAGGCTCGGAAACGCAGATTTCACACCGAGGAGAGCGCATCCAGCTCCCCTATGCGCTGTAGGGCCCCAAAGCGGAGCATGTTGCACTCGAGTTTGAAAATGTTGCCGGCCGCCTGCCGAGTTCGCGCGAAACCGTTCAAGAGGGGCGAGGCGCCCAGCTCAATCTGGTCGGCCAGCAAGCGATTGATGGCAAACCCCAGTATCTTGGCGTCGCTGTTGCTCAGGGTGACGGGGCGCAGCTCGCCGGGGCCCCCCCGAAGCTGACGGAATCTTTCTCGCGAGAGCTTTGGGGGGCGAAGACCGCCGTGCGCATGTAGGACTCGGGGCCGAGCGGGGCACCTGACTGCGAGTGCTGGTGGAGGCCGTAGGGGGCGCCGTTCACGAAGGGGCCGCCGTTTCTCCAAGCGGAATGCCAGAGCCCATCAGGGCCAAGGGCGCAATCATGAAACATGAAACGAGAGGCCAACACTTCGAACCTTTCCCAAGACGTGTTCAAGCTCACGGCGGGGTCGGCCGGAGGGATGCACGGGGCGAGCTCATCGGCGGCCTCGGGGGGCACTGGGGCTGCTTCGTGAACGAGGGCCCAGTGGTGGCGGAGAGCGTCAGCACTGGCTTCAAGGGTGGGAATGTGATACCCGCCTGGCGTACGCACGCCTGCAATGGTCACCCGCCGATTGCGAGGCGCGCAGGTCTGCGCCTGGCGCTGGAGCTTCAGCAATATCGCCCCGCGGAGGCCCCGCGGAAAGCATTCGCCCATCACTCCCCTCCCATCCTCCTCGAACCCGCCCCTGGCCGCCCCCCCCATCTAGTCGTGGAGGCCCTGCCTGTCGATCCACTGAACGGCGCGCGGGCCGATGAAGCCGGCGAGCTTCGGGGCGATCTTGAACGCCGGCCTGGCGGTAGCAGCCCCACCGGCGTACGCGGCCCGATTCGCTGTGAACAGCCAGCACAGGTGCTGCGACGCAGGTTCGGGCGAAAGGAAGCGTGATTATTGCTGGGCCCTCGAGGCTGCCAGAAGCATGCGCTCGTTGATACCCTGAATTTGCGCTGACGGGCCCCGTCGGGGGCAGCTGCGCAAAGGGGGGAGTAGACGGGGCAATGGTCGCTCGGGCCCCCCAGGTCGCAGACGTCCCACAACGTTCCAGAAGGGGGGGTGGTAGTCTAGCATGTCGGCCGCGCATGAGTTCGCGAAGAGCCAGCCAATCAAATATCGGAGGAGCTTTGACGGTTGCTTGACCGTTGGTAATGAACGAACCGCGACGAGTGGGGGAAGGCTGCAGCGCCTCGATCATTTCGGGAAAGAGCACCTCGAAGAAGCGGGAGATGCCGTCTGGCGCAGGCTGGCAAATCTCCCCCGCGACGCAATTGGCGCCCTCGCCAGGCAAGGAGACGTTGAAATCTTCTAGCGCGACATGTCTGCCCCTGAGATGGCCGCGAAATAGTCCGGCGGAGTGCTCGAAGCGTTTGCTGCTCTACTCTTGAAAGTTTGGGAGCAATGCGAGCGCTGATGGTCCTGGTCTCATCGTCGCCCGCAGGTGCCCGAATACTGCGGGTCCTCCCTAGGATCACGACCGAGTATAGGACATTTCGCAGTTTGCAAAGGATGGTGGGGCGGGTGGCCAAAGCGACCCCAGCGCGGACATGCGCCCTCTCGACGAACGGCCCGAAGATACCATGATGAGGGATGTCCCCTTGGGGCGCCGCGCGATCCCCTTCGTGCCCATGCGTTTCCTGGAGAGCAGCAATACCTGGGGCAGCACACATATATGACTTTCGGCCTCGTTTGGCGGCTTGACTTTCAGGGTGCCCGCGCGCCGATCCAACAGAACCTCGAGTGTTCTAGGTAGTAAGACCGAGGCCAGAGCCACTATGCAGCCCAGAGGGGGAGGAGGGCCCAGCGCGGGATCCAGGGGCCTGTGGCGGGGGGGGAATCATACCAGCAAGCCGAGGGTCGGACTGGGGGCGGATGGCGCGCTTGCGCTGGCAGGAATGGACAACTCGCTGCTGCTGCTGCTGCTGCCGATGGCCAAAAAGAGCGCCAGGTGAAGGAGCCTCAGGCTCGATCCCCACATCGCCTGGCTCGCACACAAAACTAACAAGACTCGCAGGCGGCTAAAGAATTTCTCGCATGTGCCCCAGGGCTGCCGCGTCTATGGCGACTTTGATGAGGGCATTGGCGGCCCCGGTGTCGATGCCCCACTCCCTGAGGTTGTCGAGGTTGGGCTGGATGCTGAACTGATTCTCGCTCTCCTCGACCGTGTGGAAAAACACCCAATGGTCGCCCTCCTGATTGTCGATGATGGAGAACTCCCCGCGGGCACCGTTGACGCCGAGCTTGAAGCTACTTGGGGCCCATGTTCCAAGACCCTGTAGCTTGGACAAGATGTGGGGCCATAGGCTTGAGAGCGCGCGCTGGCGCAATCTGTCGACCAGCGGCATGTCGGCCCTGGCGCGGAGGTTGACCTGTACCTTCTTGCGCGGGCCGTGCCACGTGGGCATGTTGTCGCGTGCCCACTCAAGGAACTGCTTGCGCGCTTCCTCGGTGCTGAAGTGGATGCTGTAGCTCATGGAGAATGGGTGGGAATTTGCGGCGATGTCTTGCTGGAGAGCAGGATGTGCGTTGGTCAGAGCCGACTTCAGGTTGGCGAACTGAGAGCGACGATGACTTTCCAACACTGCCCGCGGGAACCTCCCAATCCAAGCACGCGACTGGTCAGGCTCATCACCTCGAACCGCGATGGTGGGGACAGGCGGGCCCTCGAGCCTGCGTCGTGTCGACCGCGAGCCGCTGTGGGCCGTGGTGGCGACCGAAGACGGAAGTCGAGAAATCGTGTTGATCTGCCTCTGGATGTCCGCAACCTTTGAATCGATGATACTGGTGATGCGGGCGGTGACGTCGAGGTCCCCCCTCGGAATGGGGGCCCCCTTCTGCACGGAGGTCTGCAGCTCGGCGAAACGGGACTCCCATGCCGTTGACGTCGATTGGACTGTGGACACCATCTCCGAGTAGGACTGTGATTGATTCGCTTGCAACTGGCCCCACTGCATCTCGAGCGCACTCGCGCGGGAATTGTAGCTCTCGATGGCGTTGCTCATCGTGCCCATCTCCTGGCGCATCTCGGCGGATTGGGACTGAATGGCTTGTGTGCGCGTGGCCCGAGCCTCCGTGGATGCCATCCTGGGATCGGCGGGAGAGATCCGCATGGCTGCTGAGCGCGGGCGAACGGGCGGCAACATGTCGCCCTGTGCGACAAAATCGGAAGACTTGGGCCACCCCTTGGCACTGTCCAAGCTCGAAGCGTCAGGGACACACGTTTCGAACTTGAGCCAAAATGGCTACGGAAGGAAGAGGAGGAGGAGGAGGAGGAAGAGGAGGAGGAGGAGGAGGAGGAGGAGGAGTCCGAGAGCGACGGCAGCGTGTTCGAACACCTACTGGCTACGACATGTGGCGGCTTCGATCCGAGCGGTTGCCTTTCTGGCCACGACTTCGTGCTCGTCCCGAGGCCTTCATTCGCCGAATTACGACTGCGAGTGGTGTCGCAATATCCTGAAGAAGGGCCACATCACACTGGTGTCGCTTGTGCAAGCACACCATCCGCGAGGGCCGTTGCGAGGCAGTTTGCATCGGGTTGGGAGTCCTGGACAAGATCTGAGAGGGGGTCGCGCTGCTCTCTTTTGTTCGCACAGGTTCGGGGTTGCCCTAGAAACCTCCCTCGGGGATCCACTGGCCCAGGTCGATGCAATCCTGGGCCAGTCAGGCTGTGCAGGATCTTGCGAGATCCTGCATGATCCTGCACCCACGCCCGGGTCAGTGCGCCCCTGGCTCTGCAGGAGCCTGCAAGATTCGGCGTTCTGACTGACCCCCTGTCGGCATTGCCGCCCGTCTCTCGAGCCCCGAGGGGGTCCCACGAGGTGGGCTGCTGGGTGGCCCTTGGTGGTGCGCGGCTTGCCGGCCCGCTGCGCGCAGTGCGGCCGTGGCGGCCTGCGTGCTCGTGCCCGGGCGCTCCGCGCATCCTGGCTGACCTTCGTCTGCACTGGCCCCCGTGTGGAGCAGCGGAGCAGGCGACCACGCAAGAATCATTGGAGCACCTGTGCGTCGCTGCAGAAGCGAGATGCAGGTCCTGCCATCGAGGCGTTTTCCCCTGCAGTGCCGGCCCGCGTCCCTCGAGCCCCGGCAGCCCTGCCGCTCGGCGGTGCCGTGAGGGGGCGGCGCCCGCTGCCCGAGCTCCCCTGGAGGCGTCCACGTCGAGGGGGGGGGCGGCGGCGGCGGCCGTCGGACCACGCCTCCGCCCTGTGCCACTCTGTGAGCTTGCCGGCGGATGCCATCGAACTCCTCCGCCTCGTCTTCCTCCTCTTCCTCGACATTGTCCTCCTCCTCTTCCTCTCCTTTGTCCTCCTCCTCCTCCTCCTCCTCCTCCTCCTCCTCCTCTTCCTTGTCCTCCTGCTCTTCCTCTTTCTTGTCCTCATCTTCCTTGTCCTCCTCGTCCTCCTCCTCCTCTTCTTCTTTCTCCTCTTCCTCGTCCTCCTCCTCATTCTCCCCTTCCTCTTCCTCCTCGATCCTCCTGCAGGATCTTCCACTTCTCGCCCGCGGCCAGCCAGCGAGAGGCCCCCTCATGGTCCAGCTTCAGCTTCTCATCCAGCGCCTTCTCTTCGTGGGCGAAGAGGGGGGAAACAAAAACGGCCCAAGTGTTCGAGAATGGAGGGAGACAGAAGGGAGGGACGGGGAGGAGGAGGAGGCGGGAAGGCCCTAGAATTCTCGGATTCTAAGTTGGCCTCGCGCGCAGGTGCGTAGGGGCACGGCGAGGACGATCTACGACACGACGACGGACAATTGAGTGGAAGAGGAAGCAGGACGAGGGAGAGGGTGGAAGGAGGGAGTGGGCTGTGGGGTGCCCTGGGCAAGACATATGCTCCAGTGCCTTCTGGACGGCCTTGCTGGTGTGGTTGCCTGCGGGGGGGGGGCGCGAACACATCGCGCCCGCCAACACGGGCCCCCTGGAGCCCCAACGGGCCTAGATCCTGGTGGACACGGCGCCCGCCTGCCAGGCCTGGAGCCAGCATCCACCAACATCTCCGCATGGGACGACGCCAGGAGAAGGCAAATCCGGGCAAGGATAAGTCGTGGATCTTCGTGAGCCACCAGGTCCGGGAGATGTATCGGGCGCCACGGCCGTTCCAGAGCTGCGAAATTCGCGCCAAGCTTTATGTTCGCAGTTCTTGGCGTCCAAAGGCAGTTCCAAAGCCCTGGGACCCTCTACAAAACAGACCCGGGATTCAAAGACCTGGCCCCCAGGGCCGTCCCAGGGTAGAGGTCGAGAGGACCAAGGGCTGGCGACTCCAACATACAGGGTCGTAGAGTCGTCGGAGGTGTGGGTCTGGGCCCAGATTGGGCCTGAGGACCCAAACATCCGACGTCGCGCCAAAATCGTAAAACAATCGCGACCAAGGCTGTCGACATCATCCTTCTGACAATTCTCTCGAGCCGGACCGATCATCGAGACCCGGGATCGGGAAACGGGCCGAGAGGGCCCGTCTTGATCCGTGCATGCCGTGTGTATCCCAACTCCTCTCCTCGGACGTCGCATTCCGTCTGTGACGTGGGCCCTGGGGATCTCCCAAACATCCGGCGCTGCGATTCTTTTGAGACGCTCGGCCACGACCTCTCGACCACCTCCCCGGGACCGGTTTGTGATCCCGAGTCGTTTTCTGACGGTCCCGAGGCCCTGCAAAGGGCCCTGAGAAGCCGAAAACGATGCACAAACCTCCGCCTCGATTTTTTCGTGATGCCGGGTGTCTGGGCTCACTGTCGGTCCCGAGGATCCAGGAGGAGGCCCTTCGGCGGGCGGGCGCGAGGGGGCCTGGGCCCCTCCCTCGGACATTGACACCCAGAACATGTCCATGACGGGGCCCAGGGACACACACACACACACTTTTTGCGTCGGCGGCTAGGCAGAGTGACTGCGCTGGCGGAAGAGCACTGGTGGGGCATAGAGCCGCAGTGCACGGGGGAGGAGGAGGAGGAATGCCCAGCGGTGGCAGGAGGGAGACGGAAGCCGGGCCCGCTCAGAGCGGGACACACATACACACATGCACACACATAGATACATACTAGAACCACGCGCGCGCTTCGCGCGCGCTTAGGTTCTAGCTAGGATCGTCACCGTCGTCATCATGAACATCACCATCGCCATCATTCCCCTCGCCAGGGCTAATGTACATCGTTTCTGGATGCTTCTGGCCGGAATACGAAAGGAGTTTCTGTAGTTAGAGTCTCTGGGGGAAGTCGCGGGGCCCCTCAGGATACGTACGGATGCCTCTGATAATCCCCTGGCGTGCCCCACGAGATGGCCAGAGGGTGCCCGAACAGAACCCGAGGACGTCGACGACGGCGGCGATGAAGACGGCGGCGATCGCGGCGACGAAGGTAGCGGCGGTTGCCATGGGTTAGTACCCCATCAGAGCTTGCCTCTGTAAGGGTCCTGGCGGATTAACAGGTTCGATGAGGTCGGCAAGATTCCGGCCCCATGCGGCCGGGCCGGGTGCCCGGGTGCCCAGGTGCCCGGGTGCCCGGTGCCTGGGTGCCTGGGTGCCCGGTGCCCGGGTGCCGGGGTGCCTGGGGGTGCCCTATCGCCCTATAGCCCTGTAGCCCTATTGCCCTATAGCCGTATAGCCCTATAGGACTATAGCCCAATAGCCCTATATCCCTATATCAATCTAGCCCTTTAGCTCTATAGCCCTCTGATCCTATAGCCCTGTAGCCCTATAGCCCCATAGCTCTACAGCCCAACAACCCTATAGCCCAATAGCCGAATAGCCCACATAGCCCTATAACCCTATGGCCCTAGCCCTATAGCCCTATAGCCCTACAGCCCTATAGCCCTGTAGCCCAATAGCCCTGTAGCCCAAGTCGTTTTCATCCTGAGTCGTTTTCTGACGGTCCCGGGAACCTGCGAGGCCGGCGTGATTTGTCCAAGACGTCGGAGGTCCAGGTCGTGCTTCCCGCCTCCCCAGACCTCCGACGTCGTAATTTTTGCGACCTCGGGCCCAGGAATCGATTGGGAAAACGCACATGGGAAGGCAAGAAATGATGGACCCATCATTTCGTACCTGTGCCTTGATCAGTGGGACGGGCTTCGCACCGCCGCACATCACAAGACACGCTCGAGCGGATCCAGCCGTGGCGACGTCGGGGACTGCAGAAGGTCGCAAGGACACAGAATGTGAAAGGAAGAGAGAGAAAGAGAGAAAGAGAGGGAGAGAGAGACAGACAGACAGAGAGCGAAGGAGAGAGAGAGAGAGAGATGGAGAGAGAGAGAGAGAGAAGAAAGACAGAGAGAGAGAGAGGCAGAGAGAGGAAATGGAGAGGAGGCGAGCTTGAGTCAACGAAAGTCGCAGGGAAGGGGGCAGGGGGAAGAAGGCCAGAGAGCGCTGAAGGATACAAATACTGGAACCCTCTTGGGATTTTTTGGGGGGCCTCGTCCGGCCGCTCGCTGGGAGTTTGACGTAGCTTCTCGGGAGCCTCTGAACCTGTCGGGGGCCTCCTGGAAGCAGGTTCGAAGCATTTTGGGGGCCGATTTGGGGCTTCTCGGGGCCTCCTTTGGGCCTCTTGGGGGTCTCCTGGGGCCTCTTGAGGGGCCTCCTTGGGGCCTCCTGGCGGCCTCTTGGGGCGGAAGGCTCGAGCTTGCGGTTCGTGGTCCCCCTCTGGGCCCCCTCTTGGGCCCGTCTTGGGGCCCTCTTGGGCCATCTTGGGCGCCTCTTGGGCCGTCTTGGGGCCCTCTTGGGCTGTCCTGGGGCCCTCTTGGAAGCTTCTTGGGCCGTCTTGGGGCGGTCTTGGGCGCCTCTTGGGCCGTCCTGTAACGTCGGAAAGCCCAAAAGGCAACTTTGTGAAAATGTACGTTTTACGAAGGGAATGGGCCAATTTTTGCGTCTAGGGGCCCTCTTGGGGCGCATGTTGGAGGCTTCTTGGGGCGTCTTGGGGGCGTCCTTGGACGTCTGGAGGCCATCTTCAGCATCTTGGAGCCCTCTTGGAGGCCTCTTGGAAGTTGCTTGGGCCGTCTTGGGAGCTTCTTGGGCCGTCTTGTCTGACCGGGGAGGCCTCCGGCAAGCCCCGACGAGCCTCCGGGCCCCCCGGGGCCCACATTTGTGGTCGGGGTCCCGGCCCCGGGCCCCCGGACCCGGTGCGCCGTTATATGTATACACACAACTACACACAAATTCCAGGTTCCCTCACATGTTCTGGACTTTCGCCTTCCCCGCCACTTCTCAGATTATGTTCGATATTGTCATAGGAAACGACGAGTATTCGTGTGTGTGTGTGTGTGTTTGTTTCCCCCTCCTGAGTCCTGGGATGCCTCCTGGCCAGAGCTCTGACGCGGGTCCAGGAGTCGCAAGAAGCGGCAAAGTCGCCCGCTAGCCTTGATTCTCGATCCTCGGGTGGTGGTGGACACTTCCGCTCTCCCGGCTGCCGAGGGAAGCGTTGACGCCCCACCAGCCGTACAGCTCGGAATCCAAGTACGAGTAGTCGCCTCGTCGAGCGATGCGTGCGGGCTCGACGACCCTCGGGGTGACCACCATCGGCTTGTTGGGGGCCAGGACGGCGGCCCTGCGCTCCCCTCCCCTTGCGCAGAAGACTCCTGCACACCAACACCACGCCTGGCGAGGGACATCCTGGGCTCTGGCATGGTGCCGATGGGCCCTCCTGGCCGAGGCCAGGAAGGTCTGTACGGCAGGTCGACGTCACGATGACGTGGGCGTTGGTTTCTGTCTGACACCACGTGGATCACTTGACCACGAGTGAGAGCGACTCTCCGACAGCGCAGACGGCTGTAAGTCGGCCAGTGCCACGCCACTGCCGGCGTTCAACCTTGAACATCCGCACTAGTTAGCGTCGCTGCATCGTCAAAGCGGGGCGAGCCTACCGTACGCCTTCCTGGCCGCGGCTAGGCTGCCCTACACGCCGTCTTGGGGCCGATGATCGTCCTTGCCAGGCATGGTCGTGCACAGGCGCCTTCTGCGGCTCCTCCCCAGGAGGTCTGCCGCAGTCAGGAATCGAGCGCCGCGCGCGAAGCGCGGCCATTTGCGTGCTCTCGCGCTACGCCCCCCTCCCCGAAGAGGAAAGGCTCTGTGGCAAACGTCGCGCGGAGCGCAGTACGACATCTCCGCGCCCCTGCACGAGACGGGGCCCCCGTCGTCTCTCCCCCCCTCCTTGTCAAACCTACCCTCCTCCCCCGCTCCCCCTTCCAGAAGGAGTAGGTGGAGTCAGCGATGATGATGTTGGGCATCAAGCTCATCATGTAGAAACTCACCTTGTCGGTCACGATACGCTGAGATGCCCAGCAATGGGTTCCCTGCTTGAGTTCGGCGCAGGGGTACACCGGGATGCGCTTCGTGCACGGTTCCAGCTCCTCGGCGACTTCACGCGCCAAGTTGATGTCGTCCGAGAAGATGACGCACGTGAGCTCGTCCACGTTGCGGTGCCGCTTCACCTCCAGCAGCCCGTCCCTGTAGTAATCCATGTTCAGGTTCCTGCCCAGGCCGATGTCCGCCACCGTGCCACTGGCACGCTGGTAGGGGTCGTTCGGTGTCCCAGGGGCGGCACAACCGTCGAGGCATTGCCCCGCTCCTCCCTGTCATTTCTCTCGGCCCGAAGAATGAGCCACACGCAAGGAATGGCCTCAGGCAAGAATGGCATCTGGTGTGCAGCTGGCCGATCGTCGCATGTGATGCGACGGCAGCGGCCTGCCTGCTCGGTTTTGCCCCCTCGGGCCGCCACGGAAGCAGCGCACCACAGTTCACTCTGGCGAAAGGTCATTCTTGCGTGCAGCCAAAACACGACTGCGGCATGATGCCACACCCCCGGCCTCAGGCGGCCGAACTACCCCGGCAGGCCGCAGGGTCTCCCCAGGAGACCCTGCGAGACCCCAGGGAGCTCACGAGAGGCTCCACAGCAGCCAAAACGGCAGTGAAAGATACAATTGGTCTAGATGTGGCGATCATCCTATGCTTCTCCCCAAGATCGCTGCAGGAAGGTCCACAGGGCACCAGGATGGCCTCACAGGGCCCCGCAAGTCCCCAGGACGGCCTCAAGATGAGGGAGCGCGATCCACCGTCGCTGGCCTGAAAAATCCCACCAGTCCTTTGGGAGGGGTACCCTCCCAATTCCCTCCCTGAAGTTGTTCGGCAGGGGCCGCGATGTGTCAGAAGGCCCTTGTTCGCTCAAGATGGCTCCAAGGGGGCCTCCAATGCTCCAAGATGGCCTCCGAGATGGCTCAAGACTGCTTTCAAGATGGCACCAAATCCCGCTCCAAGTCGGTTCCAAGTGCTCTCGGATCCCCCCCCCAGCACCCCCAGGAAACCACACTGATTCAAAAGAGACGAGAGAAATCAATGATTTGTGCCTTCTCGCACTTTCGCTTCTGGGGTCTCGAGATGGCCGCAAGATGACCCAAGAGAGCTCCAAGAAGGGCCCAAAAAACACCCCAGACGGCCCCGAGAGCGCCCAAGAGCTCCCCAAACAGGGAGCCTGGAGACGGTTTTCAAACCTCTTGATGGGGGGCCTCCGTTAAAGGATCCTTCCATGGATCGATGGTCTCCAATACGGCCCCAAGGGTGACGCGTCAAAGACGGTCATTGGCGAATATGGGAGACATCCTTTTCGCGAGACATGGTATCAAAACGTGCCTGACACAAAACAGCAGCGAGTGTGCACACGCACGCGTGCAATGACATGTGTAATATACTGTCCACACGGGTACGGTTAAGCTCAAGCGGCTCAGATTTCCACAGCGGGCCCAATTGTAAGTTAGCTTCAATCGATCTCGCTCAAGGCCCACCGGGCTGCACAACAGAACCGCAGACTAAAGAGTTGACATCGTCGTCGCGGGCTCGGGACAGCTGTCGAAGGGATGAGGCTCGGGATCGATCTCGGGTGGCCAGATCCTCGCGGCGAGCCGAGAGACTGTCCTGCTCGGGAGAGGGTCTGATCATGCCGGTCTTCACCATCTGCATCTGGGCCGCGCTGCAATTGGCAAGGTCGGAGTTTGTGAAAGCATCGGCTGTCGTGAACGGACGGGGGGCCCACCTCGCCGCACCTCCGAAACGGCCCCGGGTTTCGCGGCACACGGACAGGTCAATCGCGCAGCGGCGGTCATTCTTCGAACCGCTTTCGCGTCCACGATGCTGAGGTTGCCCTCCGGCTGGGAGTTCAGAGTGCAGTCGGAACGCAGAACCGAGGCGAACGGACCGATCTTCTCGCGCCAATTCTCGCCCACCACCGATCCCTGGGGGGCGCCCAGAAACATCAACTGAAGCCATTCGGCCTCCGCGAGGGCCCTGGGCCAAGATTGGGCGCCCCCGGCGAGCGTGAACGGGGCCACCCGCTTAGCCCGATTGGACCTCCAGGCCAGGTGGGTCGCCCGAGAGCGCTTGCCAATGGATGGAGACGAGTCTGCTGTATAGACCTGCCAAGCCAACTGCGCTTCATCCCCGTCGCTGATAGCCACTCCTCCCGCGTCTGGCCGGAACTTCCAGACAGTGATAGGGGCTGCTGCCGTCTGGCGCAGGTGGTCTACCATCTCGCTGGCTTGAGAAGGCATCTCCGACAGTCGGGTGTTCGACGCGGCTGGCTAGCGTCGACGCTGTGACGCTCGCATCGGTCTAGTGTCTCGTCCTACCCAATTAGGAGGTGCACGAGTGAGCGGAACTCAGACTTCTCGTCGCGAACCAAAGGAAGCCCGCGACGCCCTCGACGGACTCGAGCGATAAACAGACGATGCACATTCTCGACGATGTTCTTTACCGGGCCCACCAAGATCCGGTCTCGAAGACGGCGAACGCGACGGCCGATGCATCCCCCCTTTCCGAGTCCACAGTCCTCTGCTTACCGTGGACGAATCGCTGGGTGAAAACCTTGAGCTGGTCTTCCTTAACACTCTCGGCCAGACCGATCGCCCTATCGTCGACCTCGATCGACACAATGGTATATGGGCCACTAGGGCCGCGACGGAGCATCCAGCAAGGCTCCAACTTGAAACGCGCGTAGCCAATAGATTCGAAGAACCGAACTGTCGTCTCACGCAGAGCGCCCAGCCCGCGCACAGGGGCCACGAGCTCAATGCCCGGGCTCGAGGCCCAGGCACTCGCACGGCTCCGCGAACGCCCTCCCCCTCGCCCTCCGAAGAGGGTCTGAATGACAGAGATCCCTCTTCAAATCTCCCATGGTCAATGCCACGCGGAGGCCGCAATGAGAAACAACCTGGGGCTTTCTATCTGAGGAGTTGGCGCGTGCGCTCTCAACTCACGGGCGCCCCCGTCTTCGCGCCCCCATCGCGCGCCACCGACCCCTGGCCTTCGGCCTCGCGAAGTCTCCCTGCCGGGGTTTCCGCCGACGGGCCATCCTGGAAGACGCAGCGCGGGATGGATTCAAGGCCCCGAGACGCCTGCCCTCGGCGGGGGGATGCACTTGCGCAGCTCCGGTTCCTGAGACGTCGGTTGGCCTATTCGTCCGCGTCGGCCTTGCGGAACTCCTCTCCCCTGATCATTCAGCGCAGAGAGAGCCATCTGGTGGTCGAGACCAGGGCCCCCGCGTTGTCGGATTCAGGGGCCCCCGGAATCAACTCGACGTCGGCTTTGTGCCGCTGGCGATACTAGACCAGTCACTGGACCGCCCCTGCTGTCTGAGCCCCCCCGTCACGGAGGCCAAAAACACTTCGGCATCTGCGGGGGGCATGGACAGGAGAACCGCGGCAGTGCCCATCGGACTCCCCCGGGAGGTTCTGTTGGGACTTCGAGAATGATCACTTTCCTTTTCGACGATCGATTCCCGATCGGCGATCCCGCCTCTCGCGGAGGGCCCCCCTGAATGTCCTCTGTGCGCCTTGGGGGCCGATTACTCGTCGGTCTCCATGCTGCTCGAGTCAGCTGGTCACAGACCTGGCTCGATCAAACTGCCTCCTAGACAGAACAAGACGTTCCCACGCTCGGGGCCCCATATCACTGATACGATTGGCCTGGATCAGGGCGCGCCCCTGGGGACCTGGAGCGGGAGGTTGTTTCCAAGAAGACCCGGCGCTGCCACTCCCCTTCTCGACGCCCGGCATGGCCGATGAGCCGGACTGAACCATCTCGGCCCCCTTCTCCTAATGGAGGCGCCACTGTTGACAGAGCTGGCATCGGGGTCCGATGTCCCGTCTGAAGGGGGCCCCGTGTTCGACGGAACCTGACGCGACTGGAAAAGGAAGGCTCTGACATGACCGCACAAATCTTTCTGCAGCGGATGGAGAGACCGCGGGCGGAGGCGCCCCCGACGCACATGGCTCGCCCGCCGACCGACGCGGGGGGGTGGGAAGAGCCCGATCAGGTGCCGCTGGGGCCAGAGGAAGCTGGGAATGGATGGCCGCTCGATCACTGGACGCCGGTCCCAGGACGGCCTCGCCCAGGGGTGGGCCCTCTCGGGCCGCGCCCACTCAGGCCCTCTGACAGCCCGACTGAACGTGGCGAACAAGATCCTGGAGAACAGTGTCTTGGGTCTTGGAGCATCTCGGCTCCCCTGGCATCTGGACGCGCGCCTGAGCTGCTCTGTGGCGCAATTCCACAGACGGGGTCTCATAGGGGCTCACGCTGCGCTGCCACGCTGGAACACAACTAGGCCAGGTCCGCGCAAGCGGTCCCTCTGCAACGCAAAGGTCTTATTATGCTGTAGCGCTGGCGCTCGGCGCCGTGCCTCTACCCAGTCTCCCGGGGCGAACTTTTGACCCCGGCGCCAGGGAACTCCAGCTGCAACCTGGATCTCGTCGCGGCAGGCGCCCTCGAAGAGCATCGCGCGGGCCCGTTCTCCGACGGGCGTGGCCCGAGCGAAATCTGCCGCAGCGGCGTCCTGGCCCCGAGTCCCCCACGGCCAGATCATCGAGGCCCACCTGGTTGACGGGGTCGTTCGACAGAAAGTCCCTGGGGGCCCTCGGGTTCCTTCCGGACGCTAGCTGGTCTCGAGAGAAGCCGCCTCTGTGAAGGTAGTTGTTCTCGGCGGCCGTGATTTCGCGCGCCGGAAGCTCGCGCTTTCGACCCGCGAAGACCGGGGTGACTTCGGAACCTCCGAGAGCCAAATCCTTCACCCAACCCCCATGCCTTTCACAGCGGCCGTTTTCCCTAGGGGTTTCGCCACTGGTAACGTGTCGACACGCCCCCCTCTGTTCTGCTCCGCGAGAGAACTACCCCTGGAATGCGGTGCCCCCGTCAGAAATGACGAGCTCTGGCGGGCCAAGGAAATGCAACCAGTAACCAAGAAGTGACAGGGGCCCCCAAGGCCTCTCGAGCACCCCCAGTACCCTGAGGTCTGACCGGACTGTTTTTTAGTCCTGCTGTGCTAACTAAACATCGGGACTAAAAATAATACCCAGGACTATAAATAGTCCCGATGCGTTCTGCGTGCAGAAAAAGTGTTGTTTTACATATAAATTGCAGACATGTTCTTAATAGCCCGTGCGCGTCAAGCGTTCGACCGTCTTGTCCACAGCGTTACGCGTTCCTTT